TTATCGACTCTGAATCATATGTCCACATTCCTTGTAAGCCCACTTTTTATTTCTCCATCTCTGTATTGGTTCCTGTATCTCAAAACCCATTGTGGGTCACTCCTTTGATGTTGCAAATTTCCCGATATTGTTCAATAATAGACTGACCTGTCTTAGCCTTCGAATAGGACTTGACTGAAGTGTAAGTTCCTTCACTATAGTGTCTCTGTTTTCCTCCATGAGCAAAACACTTAAGGGGTCCATGAAAGAAACGCAAGGGCCTATGAAATACCTGAAAAGCTTCTTAACACAGTCTAAATCTGAACGAATGGTCTTCTCACAGGTGTAAATAACCATAAATCATGACTTTTTAGAAACAAAATAACTTCAAGATTTCTTTATAAAACCACTTGTAAAGTTATGATTACCTATCCATTATGCCTTAATTAAAGCATGTGATCTTAAATTAACCGTACTATTAAAACTGATGACATTGTTACGTTTATGAACAGGTGGATTGTGTGTAACATATAATATTCAACCATGAACATCAATTATTAATCTGAAAGAGTATGTGTAACCTAATAATTTTAGATAGCGTCCCTCTAAAGACTGAGACAAACTCTATTCAAATACTTATGTGGAATGCATCTGCTCTAAAGTTATAAAAAGTAACTCAATAAAAACCACCTCAAGCTGAGAATCTAAGTAAACGCTTTGATGATAAGTCACAGGGTCCTCTGCTTAAGCGCATTATAGGTAGTGTAGCTCAGATTAGTTTAAATGATGCACAGCATTGTGGTATGGCGTTATCACCTGGAAAACCTTTTTGAGCACACCTTTAAGCATTTAAGATCAACTCCAGATGAGAAGAATAAAACGACTTTGAGCAGGGAATATCTGCTACAAACATAGGCTGATGATCAGAACTACAAAAATTAATAGCTAACGAATAAGAAACAAAAAGGATATCATTAGCATTTCACTTATTATTATTATTACTATTATTATTATCATTGTTTCCTTTAGTTCCTAGAGAAACAAAGGGCTTTAGCCACACGTCTCCATTGCGTTCGGTTCTCTGCCAACGTTTTCACCTGGCTCCACGTCTGCCCTCATACATGACCTCCTGCATGTGTCAACCTCGCACTGACGACCAACTCACCGCTTCCCATTCGGGTTCCATTCGAGCATTGGTATGACGAGTGATGTCACTTGGTGCTTTTCTCAGAGTATGGTCAGTCCACCTCCATTTCTTCCTGCAGATTTGTTGCACAATCAGTTCCTGCTAGGTTGGTTCGTTCATTCCCGGAGATCCCTGCTACTGATCTTTTCTGGCCATCTGATCTTGAGTAGTATTGAGCGAAGACAGCTGTTGATGAAGGTCTGTAGTTTGTTTGAAGTGGCCTTCGTGTCGCGGTGCCAAGTCTCTGATCCGTATAGTAGCACTGACTTCACACTGGAGTTGAAAATTCCGATGTTGTTGACCTCTACAGAGACTTGAGAGGAGTGGAAGCTTGCCTTGCTTTCCCGATCCTTGCTTTGATATCCTCCTCATCAGTTCCGCCGGCCCACAGTTGAAACGATGCTTTCTAGGTTGGTAGGTAGGTTGAGGAGTTTGCTTCTTTCAGATTGCTCCCATTTATGTTGATTGTTGTCTGTTATTGTTGCTGTTGCTGTTGGCCAGGAATCTTCGTCACCTCTGTCACCTCTATGTTGACCTGAAGACTTATCCTAATCAAAGAGAACTAGAAAAGAACGTCATGACTAACACTAAATTTACTGACTATACTAGAACTTTCTATTATCGTGTAATAATCATTAGTGTGAGACGAAATATGAATGCTACAAAATTAGTGTCAAATGAATGAAGTAATCAGGTAGTAAGTTCAACAGAAGACAAATAACCAAAATAACACACAGTGAACACCAGCCAAATATTGGAGAAATAAGATAACTTGATGTAAACCAAAGGATGACAAATAATAACAGTGCTAAGCAAACTTTCTGAATCAGGCACACATGTTCCCATGAATGTTTTGAACATGAAATAGAGGAAAAAACACCCTGATACAAAATGGTTATCCTACCAATTTTGTAAATAAGCATAAATCCAGAAGAGCTGATTAAATTTTGCACAGTGTGATGGGTCATAAAAAGCTGTACTTAATGAGTACAACTCAAAGAGTAGATCTAACGAAAGCACTTTCACTACATCAGATTAGCACGTCAGAAAATCAACGGAATCTAAACTGACACATTGCACGAAAGATAATTTATCGATTATGACCACATAGATGTATGAATGCAAATTTAACTGCTCTTGCGGAGTTATACTCATGAACATGTACTTAGTGTGGCTTGGAAAAAGAGTAACCAAGAATCATCCTATCCAGCTTAGTGGAGAATGGATACTGGATCGAAATAGAAGCAGCATTCATAGACTCATACTGAATGACAAACAATCTGCTTAAAGGTATCCAATTACGTCTCCTCGCCAAATTGAAGCCATTGGGATCAATGCAAACAAACTAATCATATGGTCATCACAGACGTTATCATCTTATATTTTCACATCTTATAATATTCTTCTATGTCTTAAGAATATCTTGTCTGCCCTTCAGACTTCTTACCGCCCACTTCCCTTCACATCATTATTATTACTATGACTGTTACCATTATATGTCATCCTTTGAATTTGCACTATGTGTTCATTATCTGACTACTGTTCACCATGTAGGAAAGACATATTGGCAAGTCAATACAAGGCTGTAAAAAGTAAAAGGTGAGTGACTAGTTTGAAATAAGTCCGGATAGTTTAAATGATAAAATTCGATAATTTTGAAAGAATGCAAGAATAAAGGGTGTAAATTATAAAACATTGTGACTAAAATTGTTAGGACGAAGAAGATAAATGGAAACAGCAAGTAATTTTCAAAGAAGCACAAGGGAAAGATATAAAGGGAAAACGCACTCCAGAAAGGGGATAAGAGATTTTGATTCAAGTTTGACCACGGTAAGAATAGTGCCTGAACATGTACCTTTTGAATACGAAGCTCCAGTTTAGTCGATCTTATTGCAACAGCTTTAGCTATATATGTAAAAGACGTAAGTGAACGAGTGTGATAAAGACCCCGGAGGCTGTTTTGGCGTTGGTGCGATGGCTTGTATAGACCAAGTGTTAAAGAATTGAAGGTGTTTATGCATTCTACTTCAGTCTTACTGAATCAAACCGGTAAACTTTCTCGAATTCGTAAATGAACCTGCCCAATTATGCACCCTACATAATTAAAACCCCAGGAACAGTTGAGACTACATATGCATGAAGTGCAGAAGCTAAAATTAGGGTAGATGTCTTTCAGTTTCGCCGTGAACACTGGGTGGTTACTGAATGATACGGACAGATGTCCAGATTAGAAAGTCTTGTTTATCGTTCCAGTTAAACTTTGGGATAGAATCTCCGTAAGAGTATCCCCGTTGAATTGTTGACGCAGTAATAATGCCTTTATCTCCACCACTGTCAGTTCATGTTTACTAGTATTATAACCCATGTTCACCTTGATACACTTTAAAACAAGCAATAAAGGTTAATAAAGCAGGATTTAATGAATTCATCAAATTTCGGTAGAACTCGTCAGCTGAACACTCTACATACACGGATATATATCTACATATATTTGAAATTACATTGGGAGATATAAGACTGATAAGTAAACAAACTACATTGAATTAGTCATGCAGAAAGACAGGTGCAAATGTTTTCCAGGTTATGTTCAAATAGATAAGGGGAGAGAGAGTATAGGAGATCAAAATTAAGATAAATTGCATTACGCTTTAATTACATCACTTAGATAAACAATTAGACATTAGAGAATATAACAAGAATTGCAAACAGAGTGATGTCAATAGTAATAGTTATAATAACAATAATAATAATAGTGTTGAAGTGAGTTAAGATAATGCTACTGATAAAGGATAGTTTTAAATGAATCAAGAATAATAATAATAATGATAATAATAATAATAATAATAATAATAATAATAAGAGGTAGAATAACAAGTAAAACGTATTACAATGGTAGATTCAGAGTCACGACCATCTCCTTTTGTACACAGAGACCTGGTTTATAAACTCAAGCCTCTGCAATTGCAAGCATCTTCTTGTTTCTTTGTCTGCTGACAATATTGAATGACTTGACCGCGTCGATATCATGTCCGTAATCCACAAGATGTTTTTTTATTGAGAATTTTGGCACTTTGCACTCAGCTTTTTTCCAGCATTTTGGAAAATGCTCCATCATGCGAGTAGACAATGGCGATTGTCTAATTTTGATCTATCATACTCTCTCTCTCTTCTTATCTATTTGAACATAACCTGGAAAACATTCGCACCTGTCTTTCTGCATGACTAATTCAATGTAGTTCGTTTACTTATGAGTCCTATATCTCCCAATGTAATCTCAAAAGTATATATATCCGTGTATGTAGAGTATTCAGCTGAGGAAGAGTTCTACCGAAATTTGATGAATTCATTAAATCCTGCTTTATTAACCTTTATTGCTTGTTTTAAATTGGTATCGGGAAATAAATGTTTATAAACTTTTCTGGATATCCGTTTCCGCTTAGAATATCTCGAATGATATGAAGTTTTTCGATACACAACTAATCGACGTCATTTAAAGTGCTAATCATCTAATCTAATTACGTTTGTATTTCATTAGTACGAAACTGGGAGAAGTGTCTGTATTCAGCTTTGGTTTCTAGCTTTCTAAATGTGGCTTTATTTTTGATGAATCCATCTTATTTTACTGTTAGTTAGTCATCGAGAGAGTACAAAGCGTCACTGTATTCTCCATAGGTGTAGGTGAAATGAACCACTGGGTGAGAGCACTATTCACGTGTCTCAAAATCAAATCACTACACAGATCTTCATCGTACTATATGACCACTGAATTTTATCATTATAATTATACAGGTAAACTTTAATTTTTTATATAAAAAAAGAAAAGAATATTACTCACTTAAAATCCTTTATCAAATAGACTTGTTATTTGTGATATTGATATTATTTGTTTATTTATTATTATTATTATTTTGATTGTCTGTTTCAAATATGATCAAGAATATGAATAATAATAATAATCCTTTTGTGTAATGCAGTTGACTGAAACACCACGAATTTCTATTATTAGCAACAGTAGTACCACTACTACTGATTACTGATATCAGTAGATAGATATATTATTCAAGAATCCAAATTCTGATTGTCTATACATTGAAACCCACTCATTCTTCTTTGAATCATTTATGTATTCACTAACTATGCGCATATGCGTATATGTATTTATATATATATACTACTCTAACTCAGTAGATGGATGACCTTTGCTGTGCACAGTTGTCTCTCTCACTCTTTCCCTTACATATACACATACACACACGCACACGCAGACGCACAAATTCTGAATGTCTGTATTAACAAGGCATATATATATATATACATACTGATTTAAGAGAAATACTTCAACATTTTCTCCGTACTACTACTAACAAGAAGTTGTTGCATTGGTAAGAATAAAGATGATAACATTAAATTTGATTCGACAAAAGTAATTTAACTAAATATGAATAATACAAAATAGAGAATTTGAAAGGAATACAAAAGCCGATAGTTTACTAGGATTCAGTATTGCGTAAGGCATAAAAGCCAGAATGGTTTTCTTTTGTTTCAAAAGGCACTGGATGCATGAGCCGACATCAGTTAGAGAAGCACTGGAAAGCCAGCTGGGAGTACTGGACAGCTGTTTCGTCCCCAATTGGGTTGGGACTCTTCGTCGATACTCACCAGCCGGGGTTCGAACCCAGAACCTTCTGGTTACAAGGTGAGCTCGTAGACCACTGAACCACTGGGACCCGATCCAGTGGCTAGTCAGTGCATGCATTCTAACTTCTGCCAATTCACGATAAAGCGCGACCATTTCCCAATGTCTTCTTCGATGAGTTACTGCCTCATTTTCAACCCGCTGTACCCTACTGGTCACCGTTTTCCACTAGAACCTCAGGTCACTTGCCTGAATAGGACCAATCGCTAGTGAGCATCAGATTGTCATTCGTAGAATTAAGAGGTAGTCAGAATCCCCTTAAACTAGGTGTTGCTTAGAAATCACAGTTAGCAAGGTGGGTTTCATGCCTAAGTGATGTCGGTTAGACAAGAAATGATAACTGGAGAATGTCGGGTAGATATTCCATTCTAGTGTGGTCATTTCATCAGTGCATACTCAAGATCACAACAGTGAATCAAGGCAATACCTTCAGGTGACGATACAAACAAGTTAGCAATTAGCCACAAGGTTGGAATCTAATTACCATGAATTCTAATTTCTGTACATTCGTGATTTTTAATCCGCAAACTGGCGTCACTGCCATCGAATATCATCGGCAGGTATCTCATCTCATATCCGACTTGATGGGCTTTATCAGTTACAGACTTTGACTGGAATTACATAAAGTTTTTCTCATAAACATTCATTTATGTGCTGCATCTAGGTAAATATATGCTGAAGATATCGGATAAAGGAGACGCTATACTTTGTGTTGACAGGAGTTAGCATTCGTTGCCGATAAGATTCTAAACCAGCGGTTGAGTGGTTAACTGCTCGCCTAGTTACCTGAAGATCTTGTGTCAAATCCTATGTGGGATAATGAGTAATTAATTCAGAGGTCTCTTGCCATTTTCATATTATACGCAGTCCAATATGGTTTATCCTCGGGAGCCAGAAAAAATATCCTCATTACAAAATATGATCTGATTGATGTCACAAATAGTAATCTAAAGAATTGTTGCTGTTAGATATTTGGAAGCAATTGGCAGGAACCTCTTAACCCAGGTTTCGTGCTTGTTGTCATCTACTAATCAGCAAGGTGTAACTGTAAACTCTAAAGAACTCATGTCCCTCTTAAGATCCTAATCTATGTCACCCATTGAGTACTGCAGTCAGAGATGTTACCCCTGAGCTATTCGGGTTGGAGATTGACCTTTTGTAGGACTATTTCATTGGATAATTTGATTGGACACTAATTAGCAACTAGCATCATGTATCTGTACCAAATAAACCATCTGATGATTACAGTTCTGAATGCATCATAATGAAAAGTCACCTACCATGATAGTCACATTACAAATTTCACTGACGGAATCCAGTCTGCATCAGACAGAGGAACAGATGCGTGATACTAGTTACTAACTAGTATCCAGTGAAGGTGATCTAAAGGATTAACAACATGGTTGATATAAGTAATCAGAAATCACCCATGTAAGATATTAATACTTCCTAATCAGAACGAGGTAATCTTAATACTGAATGACCGTTTCAACTGATACTTTCGGTATCAAGCAAATTAGAGTACTTTTCATTTTCAGAAGAAATTGTGGTGAACTCTCACCTTGATCTGCATACTTTGCAGTTGATGAATTTAATTTTAATATAGAAAAAATCCCCATTTAGACATTTAGAAAACAGAAAGACTGAGCGAAGAAATATTTACTTTTCAATTAGATCCTCATCTCTGGCTCTACTCTAATATACACGTACAGCATTTTTATTACAATACACAACAGTTTACCAATCAAGTGGCACTGATATGTTTGTTAACAATAATTAAACAGTGTCAAGATGTCAATGGGGTGATAATTAACGAAGAAAATCAATACACATTTAAAAGGTAGAAATGGTTCAAATAAATTAATTTTACAAGGATAACACGTAAATATAGATGAAGTGGTCGGAAAAAATAAAATAATTTGGACAATTATAATTTTTATAATTTTTAAATGTTTAGGGGGAGGGAGGCAAAGTAGTCAGGTTTACACATTCATGTAACGATGTCCAAGGTAAGGAAAGTGGCTGTACAAATTTCTTCTGAACACACACAGGTTTGGCTTCTTCAGGTGGATTCCTATTGCTTCAGCTGTATGTAGAAGACGAACTTGTAAAGCAAAATTAAGGTTATTAGGAATGCGATAAATAATTTTAAATGTAGTATTAACATCAACCTTATGCTCACTATCTACAAGGTGTGCTACAATAGAGCTACAAATAGATCTTGTTTGTCCATTGCTTAACCATGTTGGATGATGTTCGATGAACCTGCCTAATTGTACGCCCAATGTAGCTGGCTCCACAGCTGCAGTCGAACAGGTAGATACACATAGAGGAGGCAAATATAGGCATTTTATCCTTATTTCTCGAACGTAGAATAGGGGTGGTTGTGAAGAGACAACGTACCTCTGCTGCATCATAAGCTCTTTTAACTGCATTCTTCAGGCTCTGTGTTATTATTTCACTGATGTTGTCACCGAGGAACTGCATTTTTATGAACATTGTTTTTTTTTGGAACTGTTGCTATACTGACTCTCCTAGGTGCTGAATTCATATTTTTCTCAATGAATTTATCTGGATAACCATTTTTTCTAAGTAATTCTCTAATAATCTTAAGCTCCTCATTGAGGCAGTCTTCTGAACAGATTAACCTGGCACTACGAACCAGACACTTTACGAGTTTACGTTTATATTTCAAAGGTACAAAACTCAAAAAATGAGTGTACTGACCTGTTGTTGTAGGTTCCCTATACACACTCCTTCTTAGTGTGCCATCTTCTTTCCTTGCCATGAAGACGTCTAGGAATGAGATACTGTCATTACTTTATCTATCTATGGTAAAGTTTATTGCTGAATGAGTGTCATTAAACTTGTCAAGGATGTTCACTGCATCATTCTTGTCTTTCATAACCAGAAATTTATCACCCATATATCGATAGTAGAAATCCAAGTCATTAATTACTTCTTTCAGTGGTCCATTCTCTAACTTAGTGAGGGAAAAATCAGCTAGGATTGGACCTAATGGGGAACCCATAGCCACACCATCAGTTTGTCTGTAATATTCCTTATTGAATAAGAAATGAACATTCATTGTACGTCTTAAAATAAGTTCCTTCAAGGTGGACACAGAAATGCCGATGTCTATGTTTCGTGTAGTGATCTCCTCACATATAAAATCCACTGTCTCCATTAACGGTACATTGGTGAACAAGGAGGATACATCAAAAGATATCATACACTTGTCCCTCACATTAAGATCTCTGTTGTGTATTGTAATAAAAATGCTATATACATTAGAGTGGAGCCAAAGATGAGGATCTAATTAAAAAGTAAATATTTCTTCGCTCAATCTTTCTGTTTTCTGAATTTAATTCTATGTATCAACGATTCAATCAAGAGGCTAGATAGATTTCGGTTATTTTGAACTTATTCGACCCTGAGAGTTAAGTTTAACAGAGTAAAGGTTAAGCTGGCAACCCCTAATGGTTGATATGAGCAGTTTTCATCTGCTCATAGTAGTCAGCTGAATAGGTACTGATGTGAATGTTAAATTCACGCCAATTGCATTTGCTTCTTCTATTTTTAAAATTATCGGGAAAATTACTTTTACTTAACCTTGAACCTTCTTTGAATGTTTCAACTATCCTGAGTAATTTGCATATATACAGGATACGTGTACTTTAGTTGCTGCTACTGTCACGCATCATAATATAGTTTCCTGTTTGGATAAAAGATCCAAATATGTTCAGTGTACCTTGCTGGACTACGCGTCCACCTCTAACTCTATACCCAGATGCCTTCTGTTAAATAAACTTTCCTTCACACAAACTAAGTCTTATTTGTCTGACAGAGTGCAGTAAAATGTAAAGAAAGGGCAAATCTTTCTCTGCCCTGCTTACTGACGCTGGTGTCCCTCAAGGTGATGTTCTCTCTCCTTTCCTTGTTTCTTTCCTCTTACGTGACTTGCCTCTTTCAGATGAAATTGACCTCATTAAGCACACCGATGATCTAACTGTCTCGTTGCCAGTTACCTTCCTATCTGATTGTTCCAAAGTCAATAGCTTTTTGTCGGAAATTAGCCACTGGTCTAAGCTAAATGGTCATATATTAAATCCCTCTAAATGTCAGACAGTTAACTTCACCTCCAAGCAAAACTGTAATTTACACGAACTGGTCCGTTCGCATGATGCTTATAGCACGGAGGGCCCTGAAATGGAAACTAAGTCAAACTTAAAATACCTTGGAATAGTTCTGTCCTCTGACCTTCCTTGGTCTCCCCATTTCTTGTCTATTTCTAAGAAAATGCCTGATGTAACCTACTACACTAAGAAATTAGGACAATCAGATGTCACTCAACTTCTTCTTTTACAGTTTGTTAACTACTGCATCTTCCCTATTGTAGTCTGTTGTTCCTCTTTGATCTTTCCTGGGCTACTCATAAAGGATTGTGTCACACTTCGAAGGGTATAAACGGTTATCAGTAGGGTAAATAATATACTATTAAGTCAGCTCCTTACTACTGTAGTCAACAGACACCTGAACTCATTCGAGTAATAGTCTAAA